AACCAGCCTAAGAAAGAGATTCAGAGGGCAGAGTTTAAGACAGTACCAGACTCAGAGCTTCTAGATGTCCTCTGTGAAGGCATGAACCATGTTACTTTTCCAGCAGTGAGGGTGACAATATGCACAGAGTATTGGCAACCAAAGAAACTCACTCCAGCCTTGGTGCTCAGACTCTTTGTTGGGACTCAATCAAATGTGTCCATGTGACAAATCTCAGTCTCTGTATCCTCAATCCCATTGTTACGATCTGGTTCTACCAATTTTTAAATTCAAGCAAAAAAAGGGAGGAGAAAATTCATACCATGATTGAGAAATGGGCTGTAACTACAGGTAAAAGTTTTTAGACGAAACCACATTAATTTGAATTACAGTGACCTTATGGTGTATTTTGAGATTTGGGAAGGCAAATTTTGCCTCATTGTTCCTTCTTTCTTTCATAACTGCTCTCAGACATTTATGTGTCCTTCTAAAATTTGGATTCTGTATTAGTGAAGTTGCATTCAGTTAAAAGTGTACATTGTTTATGCTTCATGAGTTGAGTTTAATTGCTGTGTAAAAATCTTCTAGAAGATTACATTATGATTTGGCACTGAGATGAAAAAGTTGTTGTGAATGCAGAAATTCATATAAACAGCAGTGGAACATAAATTCGATATTAGTAAAGGAAATGTGTCATCAGAGAAACGACTTCATTTCCCAGTTTCTTGCAAAGCAACAATGAAGATGTTTATAAGACTAAGAAAGAAAGCTAGCCCTACCCCCACCTCCACCCTTGCAAATACAACTCTCTTCTGTTTTGCTACTAAGATACGTGCAAATGGATTGTAATGCAATGGAAAATTTACCAAATCTTTTAAAGTAGATAAATTCCAAAGCAATGAGAGGTGGTGTCATCAATTCATGTGTTTTGAAAGACTATCATTAAGATGTCAAACATCTATTAATCAGAACTTCTTGCTGGCTTTGAGCAGAAGACAATAGTGGAGCATTCTTTTAGAAATGTCCAATCACCAGTGTTCCTAACAGCCAAAGGATAATATTGTGTGACAAACGCGAACATCAGCGACTCTGAGTCCAAAGATGATAGAGAAGAGTAAGACTTCATATCTAAAGCTATCATAGGAACATCTACACACCTTTATTTCACTTCTATTTTCCCTTTTTAAGTGTGCCCACAATCATTTACAGAGAGAAACTAACCCAGACTTAGACCGATCGGACCGCAGAAGTAGCCTGGCCAAGTGATTGGCCAACCAGAGTGAGGCTTTGGGCTTTCTTCACTCCTGGGTCTAGCTGCCCTTTCCCCGTACTGGATCTTCAACACCATCGTATGAGCATAAGAGGAACTTCCAGCCTTAACACGAGGCCAACACATGGATAACAAAGCAGAGAAGCAAAAGAACCTGGATGGATTGTTGGTGATATTATGGAACCCAGGATCACCTCAAAGCAGTTTCAGTTGGATTTTCCGTTTCTTTCTTTTTTTAAAATTTTTAATGTTTATATATTTTTGAGAGAGACAGAGCATGAAAAGGGGAGGGACAGAGAGAGAGGGAGTCAGAATCTGAAGCAGGCTCCAGGCTCCAAGCTGTCAGCACGGAGCCGGACGTGGGGCTCAGACTCACGAACTGTGAGATCATGACCTGAACTGAAGTTAGACGCCTAACCGACTGAGCCACCCAGGCGCCCCTGGGTTTTCTGTTTCTTGCAAACCAAAGTTGCCTAGCCAAATGAAGGCTCATTAAATGCCAAAGGATAGACCGAATGATGATATGTGGGGCAGCCTTACTTCCCCAACCTGGGGACCCCATCATCCAGCCCCCAGTCGGTCATCAATTCAGCTGGTACCCCACTGGTTATGTCTCTTGAGGACTCCATGTAGAAGATCCTAAAGGCTTTGCTGTGAGGCACACTTGGGAAGTAGGGCACCTTTAGATACTTTTTAGAAATGAGGAAGAGTGGGATTCAGGGATCTTGGCGAGTAAAGATATTTGTAGCAGATAGGTGCACATTTATGTGGTTCATACATTTCCAGATCTTGATCAGGCTTTCATGTAATCACAGATTGGGTATTTGGGCCTGATGAAGTTGATGAAGTCAAGCACCCATTTTTACTTTATTTTCACTTTAATGCTACCTGCTTCCCAAACTGTTCTCACTGAGCCCAGACACACTGAAGGACCAACTGGCTTTAAAAATTGTGCTCTACCGCTGGCATGGATCGCCGCTGAGTGAGCAGAGGAAGCTAGCTGAATCTGAAAGTAGTTGTGATGCCGTACGAATCTCAAGTCTTTATCCGCGTCTGCCTCCTGCTAGCAATGTTTTCTATGGCCTATGAGGTCAGGAAGGAGAATACACTTTCCTAGCCCCTGTCAATGGAATAACATACCTAAGTTATAGAAGTTAGCATAAAGCTCCTAGTCAGCCTTAATTTCTACCCCCTTCAATTCAAAATCTAGGTTATTTTTTTTAACAAATAGTTTATTGTCAAATTATTTTCCACATAACACTCAGTGCTCATCCCCAAAGTGCCCTCCTCCATGCCCATCCCCCCTCCCCCCACATCCATCAGTCCTCAGTTTTTGTCAGCATTCAAGAGTCTCTCATGGTTTGCCTCTCTCCTTTTCCCCCACCATTTCCGCCCTTCTTCTCCCCCTTGTTCCTCCGTCAAGTTCCTCCTAAGCCTCCTATACATGCAAACATATGATATTTGTCCTTCTCTGCCTGATCTAGGTTATTTAAAGGGCGCCTGGGTGGCTCAGTCAGTTAAGCTTCCAACTTCGGGTCAGGCCATGACCTCACAGCTTGTGGGTTTGAGCCCCGCATTGGGCTCTGTGCTGACAACTAGCTCAGAGCCTGGAGCCTGCTTCCAATTCTCTGTCTCTCTCTCTGACCCTCCCATGCTCGTGCTGCCTCTCTCTCTCTCTCGCAGAAATAAATAAAACATTAAAAACAAAACAAAAAACCCTCCAAATTTAGGTTATTTTATGGTCTTTACAAAGCTAGAATTACTTTTCTCTTTAAAACTTGGCAGATTGGTGTTTTTGTTTTTATTCCTTGAGCTTGATAAGTTTTCTTTCCTGTGCCTACTTGCCCATAACTTATTCTTCTGGTCTGATGACTGCTTTTTAATGAGTTCAGCCTGTGCTTTCTTGGACAAATTGGGAGTGTGAGGAGTGTGTTAATTAGCTATGAGATCTAGCCCAACTTTTGAAGTTCAGAGCTTTGGAATGTTACAGATGTGTAAATACACTCATGGCTTTTTGCATTTGGTGATTGTTTCTCAGCTGAGACCTCAGGGAGCCTCCCACCTCAGTATTCTGTGACCCCTGACCCCTGAATGGTTCTGTCGTTAATGGCCAGTCTCTGGGGACCCATACCCAAAGGAAATGGCTTCCTGTTTTGGTCTAAGTGGCCCTTCTTCCTTGCAGCCTTCCTCACTGTTGACCAAATATCCAATTTCAGGATGGAGAAAATGAGCCTTCTTCCTCTCCCCTCCCCATGGGGTAAGGAGGAATGAGGCAGGAGCTGAGAAAGTTCCTCTGGGGGGGGGGGAGGTAAACTGTTTTCTTATGACTATACCCATATTGTAACAAATTATACCAAGTATTTCTTCAAATAAAATACCTACCTACTCCTGAGGAAGCCTGCATGATCACCCAAACTGATCCTTCTCACCCCCAATCTAGAAACATCCTCTTTTTCAAAACACTTCCCAAGTACGTCTTGGTGCTGGTCCTGGAGCAGACTCTGCGTCCTATGGATGAGTAAAAGAACTCACAGTCTGGTTAAGGAGACACCTCTTGAATAGACTCTATAGGTCCATAAATTTACAAAGAACCTGGGGACTGAGTAGGAGGCCAGGGAGGTAAATCAGTAAAGCTTTTGATCTTTGTACCCAAGTAGGTGGTTCCCAGGTGATGGGGGGGGGGGGGCGGTTACCATAGGCAGATGGCCCCTTCGAACAGGTGGGCATGTCAGCCCTGCTTTGCTGCTCCACTAAGCTGTGACTGATCACCCCATTGTCCTGGTGTATTTTAAGTGTTGTACTGTGAGTCAGTTCCTCCTGTCTCTGAAAAGGTGTTCTCCCAACCACATACTTTCCTAAAACAGTGTGAGCACAATATATGAGGAGTAAAAGAATGAGTGAATGAATGGATGAGTAAGTGTGGGTCCAACTAGACCATGTTACTCAGACTCAGTGAGGAGCCAGTGCTCCAGGCCCCCACTCCACCACTCCCTATCCTCTGCCCGATGGCCAGGATTGTGAAGGTGAAAGAGAATATGTGACGGGGTCAGAGGCTAGCAATTCTGAATTCGTCCCTAAAGTTTGAAGGGACACTCATCGTAAATCGTAAAAATTCCTCAGCCCTATACCAAAAATGAAACAAAAAGTTCATTTAAAAAACTGCTCAAAAACTCGCTGAGCTGAAAGGTGTCTTTGGTCCTCGGCTACAGGACAGGTGCTTTCAGATCCAGCTAAGGCAGTCCGGAGCCTCCTTTCGCTCCAGGCAATGCCCCTAACGAGTCAGGCGGTGTAGGGTCACCACTCACGAAGAACTGAACTATAAGCCAGAGCGGTGAGAACCGGGGACCGTGCGCCAAACGACCGCACAGGGTCAAAGGCAAGCTCCGCCAGGGGTGCCGCGCCGGAGAGATGGGACCCCTACAGACCGGGCTCCTCCCACAGGGGCGGGGCTCAGCGGGGGGAGGTGGAGTCCGTGCTCCTCCCCGGAGGAGCGGCGTTGGTCACGTGGGAGAGGTGCGGCGGCGCAGGCGCCGAAGAGCGCAGGCGCCGGGGCCATCCCTTGGACTCCCGGGCTGGGGGGGGCTTGGTCCGCTCGCCTCCAGGCGTCAGGCCTGGGAACAGGCGGGCGGGGGAAAGTGGTGCGAGCTGCCTGCGCGCACGTGACATCCGCGGGCGCGTGTCACCCCCACGGCGCAGGTCAGGAAACTGAGGCAGGGCCGGGGGAAGCGAGGCTCGGTCGGCTGCGCGCGGGTGGGTCAGACCCCGGGTGTGTTAGGCCCGCCCCTCGGGCGGCCCCAGAGTCCGCGGGAAGCTTCCTCCAAGCCGGCTGAGCGCCGCGGCACCTGCCGGGGCCGAAGCGGGTCCCCCCCACCCCCCGTCCTCGCGACGGACGGCGTTCACTCCCGGCCCAACTTGCAGCGGTCAGCGGGAAAACCCCGTGTTGAAGGTCTAAAGACCCAGGGCCCGGACTGTCTCTGATCTGTCAGATTCCCAGACCCAGGGCCCGGACTGGCTCTGATCTGTCAGATTCCCCCACTCTTTTCCCCTCTCCCGGCTTTGACTGAGACTGATAACACCGACCTGCCTGAATTATTGGGATAGAAAACTGAAAAAAGGACCCTGCCCAGGCGCTCCTGCCCCGCCCGAGCGGACCTGGGGGCTGTCTGGGGGTGGGCGGAACAGACGCAGGTGAGCGGACCCCGGCTCTGCCCTTGCTTAGGCAATGTGCTTTCTTAGGGTCGTGTGTTTTATGGGGCCACGGTTTCTTCGGAATCTCAGAGGCACCTGCTCTGTCCTTCCCCTAAAGGTCACACACCCCTGACCGAATTGGAAAGAGTCCAAAGTGTACATTTAAGATCCCTGTGCTGAAGTCCAGGAATGGAAAGACGAACAAGGCACCGATCTGACAGTCTCGAGATTGTTGCAGGGGTGGAGAAGTGAAAGAAATGGAGATAAGATGGCTAAGGCCCAGCCTGGCAAGGGTTCTGGGGAGGGACCACACCCAGGGAGTCCAGAAGCTGGACTGGAGTTCAAACCCAGCGAACTCTGGGCCTTTTTTCCCTTATAGACCATGATGTTTCTGAAGCTCAATTACCTAGACTTCAGATCAGTTTTGTTTATTTTAATGTATTTTCCTATGAGCTTGGCGGGTGATTAAAAAAAAAAAAGAATCCTTTAGGATTTATTTTGAAAAGTATTGTCCAGAAAGCAGCTTGGATGCTAGCTTGGATGCTCCTGCTCCAGCCCAGTCCCGGAGCCCAAGAAAGGGGATTCAGAATGCAAATCCTGACTCTTTGGAACATACCCAGTCATCAGAAACCCTCCATTTCATGTACAAACAACATTTTAGGGGAGATCATTGACTAATCTAGAAATGAGTAAGAATTATACATCATATTTACGTCACTCTTTGTAAGGGAGCTTACTTACAAAGCACCATCCGTACATTTAATCTTTTGATTCCTACAGTGCCGTAGAAGGTTAACTCAGGAGTCATTCCCATTTTATTGTTGCAAAAACAATGGCTTGTTCGGGTTCTACAACTTGTAGGAATTTAATTTAGATTTTAGTTCCTCTTGGTGTGGCTCTTCCCATGACCCCTGCCTGTGGAAGGGTATGCCATTTCTTTGAGATCTTCTGTACTCTTCCCTAGGGGTACAGAAGACATTTCTGATGGTTGTCTTATCAGCCTGTGTCCCTTAATTGGTTCTCAGAAAATTTGGTTAGGACTAGAATCCTGGGCCCTGAAACTGCAAGCTGAATTCTTGTCTCATTGTGAAATGTTGAGCTGAGACACTCCAAGTCTCCTCTGCTGAGGCTTGTGTAGCAATAACTGTCCAGAGGCCGAGGGACCCAGCCTCATCTCTGATCTTGGTGGCCTCTGGCACAGAGAGGTAACACGTGGACAGCGCCCTTTGCCTTCTCTGGTGCAGAAGGCAGTGTTGGCCAGGCTGCAGGAACGGCACAGCCCTGCAGAGCAGGCCGTTAGGCCAGCGGAGCCTGAGACAGACCGGGCTTCCCTCCAGACCTAGAACCCAGTACAGAGGCAAGCCTGTACTGACCCAGCTGGGGCGGCACACCTGCAGAATTTGTTCAGTGTTTTGTGTTCTTCGAATGACCTGCCCTCAGACCCATGTGAATCTGAGCCCTGCAAAGAAGAGAAAGATAATGCCTTAAATTCTGCAATACTTTATTGTACAAACAGATGCATATATCTGTATTCTTCCTGGCAACCCCTCCAAGTTCCCTTGTTTTTAGGAAAGAGCTATTGAGGGACAAGGTGACCTCTCAAAGAATGAAAACGCAGGATTTTTGTCCGAAAGCCCAGGGTCTTTTGTGGTATTGCCCTTGCCTTCCCATCCACACCCACGTAACTTGATAGAGCGGGTGTTCTGAGCCCAGTTAGGAGGCCATGCAAGCAAGGGGCAGATTGGCCACATATTTTGGGGGGGGGGGCTCTGATTAGAGGATTTGTCTTTGTCTCAGAGTTTCCCAATAATTGATTTTTTCCTCTTGTTCAGCTATCAGCATCTGTTCAGAACTTCCCAACTCTGACACCTGAAAGGACATCTGGGCCAGAGCTGGACAGACAGTCACCCCAAGGAGCCCAGCAGGGAGTTGGAGACTAAGGCAAGTAGGTGAGCGCTCACTGCAGGGCCCTTGATGACAAGGGGGTGGAAGCGCATTCCCTACTGCTCATGGGGCCTGGGGCGCCGATGCCACCAGGCTGCTAAACTGGTATTTTCAAGCCTGTCCCTATGTCATCCAGAATTGACAGGACCTTGTTAGTGTGGGGAGGAGAGGTGCACGGTGGCTGCTCAGCTGAGAATGAGCCATGTGACCCTTATAAAAACATGTGGCTTTGGATTATAAGCAGTTTGCAAAGCACTGGGACTCAAAGATAGGTGAACTCTCTGGCCGCAGATTTCCCGGGCCCTGTTCAGTTGCAGTTTTACCTTCAGCCTTCTTCAGGCCAGCGAGCAGACTTCTGGAACCTTACTGCTCCCCTGCCTCCCTGAACCCTGCCCCACTCTCCCCATGCTCCATGGTCGCAGCTTCTGCAGGGGTGTCCCATGCAGGATAAATAATCCTGGATTTGGAGTTGGAAGACCCAGACCCAGCCCAGCCACTGACTAGCCCTCCCCCATGTGACCTTGGACTAGTTAGTCCTTTCTCTGGGCCGAGTTTCCTCATTTGCTCAGTGAAGGAGAGGCTGAACCAGAGTTCTGAGGGAAGGAGAGGGGACAGGAGAGCAAAAAAGGAAGATGAAGCATCCTCTCCAGCCTCCTGCACTGAGGGCTGGAGGCAAAGAGGCCCGTGCACATTCTTTAGTTTCCTTTTTCTCCCTTCGCAGCCCTTTCTTCCTCCTGGCCTGTCTCAGGCCAGCTCATTCTGGGGAGGGAGGATTGCCTGGGTGGGGCTGGGCTGGGCAGGTGTACCCTCTAGTGTAGAATAGGATGCCGTCTCTACTTGTTTCAGGCACGAATTATCCCACCCGATGCCGATACTTTGTTTTATAAAGACTTTATCAGTTCCTGCCCAGAGGCAGCTCCTTGAACGGGCAGGAATTAGGCCTGGGGAAGTGAGGAGTGAGAGTGTGCACGCCCAGCAGGAGAGCGGTAGCAACAGAGGCCCCCCATGGCTTTTTGGACATCAGAACCCTGGAGTTGCAGCCGTGCCGTTCTTTAGAGTCTTCGGATGTCAGAACCGGGGCAACCTCATAGATTTGCTAGCTCCTCCCTCTGTCTGTACACAGCTTCTTCGTAGCTGAGGTCACATCGCCTTGCCGTTGAGCGGTGGAGCTACGACCCAACCTAAGATCACCCAAACCCCAGGCTTGAGTGTTTTATTTAGCATCAAGCCAGCCCCGTGCAAAATTACTTTCTGGTACAGAGCTGACATTGGGTGGCTCCAAATCAGTTCCAACATGGAGTGTAAAGAATGACATTCAGATCATTTCATTAGACATTGAATACCTACTGATTACCAGGATTTGTGTTAAATGCCAGGGATGCAAGAGTGAATGAGGCAACAGCCCTGCCCTCAGCTGACTCCACCATATTGTGTAAACAGACATGCCAGTGGCTAAAATACACTAAGTCCGCGTGTGCCTTGTGCCATGTGCAAAGGTCTGTGTGTGTTTCCACATGTGTGTGCGCTATATAGGCAGAAGTGGGGGAGATAGTTGATTGTTGGGGCATCCAGGAAGACGCTTTGGGACAGAGTGTTATTTGTGCTGGGCCTTTACATAGTGGGCACGGAGGGGAGGGGCATTCTGAGCAAAGGAAGCAACAGGAGCAGCAGTTTGGAGGCCTAACAAGACACCTTATGGTCCTCGCACAGGGAGTGGTCAGCATGGTGGACGGCAGCTAAGCTGTGTAGGGCCCCGACAGCTGCGCTGAGGAGTTCTGAGAGCCCAGAAGCAAGGCAAGAAGCAGGTCAAGGTGTTTTACAGTCACTCTGGCTGCAGCGTGGAGAGCAAGCTGTAGGGCACCTGGCTCGAGCCAAGCCTGTTCTGTGCTGTGGTTACCGAGGGAGGGCAGCACAGGGTCACCGGGGCCTGAGCCCAGAGAGGCCGAGGGGAGGATGAGCGTCAACCACGTTGCACAGGACGGATTCGAGGCGGGCGACAAGGGAGAAGGAGTGACTCTCAGCTTCTGGCTTGAGCAGTCGGCCAGGTGCCTGTCATTCACTGAGCTAGGAAACTCAGAAGCAAAACAGGCTGGAGGGGAGGTCAGCTTTGGACATGGTGCGACCGACATGACCTACGGAACCCTCAGGTACAAACTTTAAGTCTGGGACAGCAATAGGAACCTGGAAGTCAATACCAAGGGGTGAGGGTGCAGCGCTGGGAGTAGGTGAGGTCACCCGGGATCAGGTGGGGGTGAGAGGAGCGGAGGAGGGAAGGCCAAGGGGCGTAGGGGACACATAGTGTGTGAGGGACCACAGGGGAACCAGCTGACTTCCTGGGTGTAGGGCAAAGAATGGGGCAAGGGACAGGCCGCGTGAGGAGCCGTGAAGAAGGCGACATCTCCCTTGGATTTCAGTTAGTGGGGACACGTGGGCGGCGTTGAGGGCTTCACCTCCTGAGCCTGCCCTGGATAGCAGGGAGGGTCTGTTGGCGCTTGATAAATGTTACAGTCTGCATGACTGCAAATGACTCAAACTTTGTTCAGCTCTTCGAAGGGCCGGGGGCCTTGGCAGCTCTCCATTTTGATGTTTTCTGGAGATTGAGTATTAACAGCTGAAGGAGCCCCAGGGTTTCTGGGTGGCCCGGTCCTGCCTGTCGTGTGAGAGAGCGAGCTTGGGGCCGGAGGCGGGACTCCAGAGCCCCGCCTCCAGCCTTCCCCTGCAGCCTGGTTCCCGCCTGCTCCTGCTGGGTCAGCCTCTTTGTCGGCAGAAGCCCCGGAGCGTGCAGCTGCTGATGGTGAGTGTGCCCTGCTCCCAGGTTTACACTACCCACTACCGAGGGTAGGGAGAAGGGGCTGTGGGCAGGGAGTGGCTTGTGGAGTCCGGGGCTGCAGGGAAGAAACACTCTGGAGTCTGAGATGGGTGCGCAGGGGGTAGAGTTCTGATAGGGACCCAAGAACGTGCAGACTCCAGAGAGCTGCTTTAGATAGACCCGCATGATGGCACTGGAGTGCTTTAAGGAGCCTTAGCGTCCACCTCGGCCCACCGCCCCCCTCATTTTGGAGTGAGGAAAATGGGGCTGGAGCAGGGACCGCCCCCCCACTTTGGCCTCGGGAGCCCTGCTGGGTCTTGTCCCCCCACCACCATGTGCCTTCTCTCACCGGAGCTGCTGCTCTGAGCTCCCCCAGCTGTTGTCTGGGGTCTTATCACACTTCTCCTTCTTCTTTGGGAGATGGCGGAAGGACAGATAAGTCCCTGCAGCGGGAACTGAGTCCTGAATCCTGGTCAGGTGGGGGCCGGGCCAGGTGGGGGCCGGCTTCTGTAAACAACCTTGCTGTTACCTCCTAGGAAAACTGACCTTTTCCTTGATGGGGATAGGAAGGGGAGGATAGAGAAGGGACATCTGTCCCATGGGAAATTTCCTGTAATGATTTGGCTGTATTTGAGGACTGAAAAAAAAAGTCAGTCTTTTCTGATGCTCCTTAAGACAAAAGGGATCAATGCCCTTGACCCCCCAGAAACCCACAGATGAACGTGCGGGGAGGCAACATAGGCAGCCCTAGGGACCTCGTGGTCTAGGTCCAGGTTACAGTGCTGCTGCCTGCCGGCTCTGTGACACTGCAGAATGGCCTGAGCTGCTCTGAATTCAGGGTTGTCAGCCCATGAAACAGGGTAATATCTGCATCATACGACTGTTGAGTGAATGGAATTAGGCCGTGAGTGTCAAGTGACACTAAATAAATGCTGGCTTACCGGCTTTCCTATCTCTCCCACTGGCCTTAGAGGCCCATGTGAAAACGCTTTGTTCTGTTTCAAGAGTAAGGTCCCCTGCCTCCTCCTCTCTGTCGTGGGAATTGCCGGGATTCAGGATTCCCAGCCGGTCTCGCTCAGCAGCGAGTTGCAGGGCTACCTGCTCCAAGACGTGCCAGGAGGGGGATTGCTTTGTAACTTGGGGGGCTTGGCTCAGGGGCTGGACCTGCACGTTCTCTGGGTGTTTCCAAGAGCCAGTTTTCACTGCATCCCCTCCCCCCCACAGCAGAAGAGCCTGCTGCCAGAGGCCCACTGCAGTCGTGTGTTCATGCAGAGTAACTCCCCTCTGGAGTTACCGCTGCTCTCACGTCTTCGTGCCTGAGAGGGGAGCCCACGCTCCTCAGAGGGGTGAATCTCTGCTCAGACTTCCTGGATCCCAGGCTTCAGGTGGGGGTGGGGTAGTAAACAATACTCCTGGGGGCTTTGAATCCCACCTCTTGTATTCCAGTCCTTGGGCTAGAGGTAGGGGGGTGTGGGGGGGTGCCTTTGGACACGGGAGCTTCCCTTCTCCGAGTGCCTTGGGCACTGACATCCGCTCCTAGGCTGCCTGGTTTCTCCCAGGCTCATTCAGCCCAGACGGGGCCTAGGCCTTCCATCCTGCCCGCCGAGTCCTCTGCCAACTCCAAAGCCACCTCCTTCTGGGTGCTTCTGTGGCTTCCCACATCGGATGGAACTGGCCCTCATCCCCATCGCTTTCCGTTCACGAACCTTGCCCAAGCTGCCTCACCTTGCCGCTTGAGTTTCTGTTATCTGTGTGCGAGGCCCGTATGTCCTCCAGGACCGTGTATCATTTAGCGGCACGTCCTCCCACACTGCCATTTATCAAACACGTCAGTGCTGAATAAATGTTTGGAAACAAATGCTGAGTCCCATCGCAGTCACAAGCAAGTGGGCTCACTGGCCGTTGGTGGGAAGATGGGGCCCATTGGCCTCTAAGAGCAGCAGAGGTATGTTGGGAGGACATGGAGCTGAGTGTGAGGCTCCCTGGACTTCCTGCAGCGCACTGAAGTGTTTCAGGAGTTGAACTGAGTCCTTTGTTTTTTGTTTTTTGTTTTTTTAAATTTTTTTTAATGTTTTACTTATTTCTGAGACAGAGAGACAGCATGAGCAGGGGAGGGTCAGAGAGAGGGGGAGATACAGAGTCTGAATCAGGCTCCAGGCTCTGAGCTGGCTGTCAGCACAGAGCCCGACATGGGGCTCAAACCCACAAACCGCACGATTATTTCCTGAGCCGAAGTCAGACGCTTAACCGACTGAGCCACCCAGGCGCCCCGAAGTGAGTCCTTTGTAAGGGCAGATGTAAGCCGGTCTTTGTGAACCTTTCTTAAGCACTATCAGATCTGTGATCAGAGCCCACGCCATATGCTCCTGAGTCATCCACGTATGTCAGAAATCCAGGGATGTTTGGGATACATGTAAAGGTGCAGGAATTGCTCCAGACTCTGGGGAGGCTCCTGTTCGTAGCTGGCAGGCGAGAGATGTGGTTGTTGCGTGAATTCCCCCGATTGTTCTGCGAATTATAAGCGTGTAATGTGTAACTTTGCCTCATAAAAGAATTGGAAGCCGACCTGCCCTAAGGTTCTTTCCTGCTTGGCCCAGGGACTTGGGTTTTCCATTAAGTCGCTCTCATCATCATTCGGTTCTTCTGAATTCATTCGAGCGCACAGTTATGGAGAGTCTGCTGTGTACCAAGCAGGCTCTGTGCTGGGCCTGGCATTTCAGACACAAGCGGAGGGACAGAGTCAAAGGTACACAGGTGCATATCTTGTGTGGAGCACATCGGAAGCGTCACAGGTGTGAGGTGTAGGGGAATCTGCATCCCTTGGGGGTGGCAGCCAGGGTAGGCGTAGCATCCAGGAAGCCTTCTTGAAGAGGTGTCCAAGCCCTGAGGAGCAGAACGGATGAGGCAGGACATTCCAGGCCAAGGCGTAGATGTGTGCTCAGCATGAGCCCTGCTGCCCCCCTAGTGAGCTGAGAGAGGTGAGCTGAGAGACTGGAGGGCGCAGCTCTCCCAGCCCTAGTCACTGTCCTTTCTGTGGCTGACCACTAGCCAAGCGCAAAATCATGAATTCTTTGCCCTGGACAATGCTTCTCAAACTTTTGTGTGCATGTGAACTGCCTGCCCGGTTTGCTTAAGATGCATCTGATGACTCCTTAGTTCTGAGCTAAGGGGTGAGATCTGCACTGCAATGTGACCCCAGTACTGCCAGCCAGGAGGCCGCGAAGTGGTAAGAAACTCTATTCTCCGGGCTTCAGACCCTCGCCCGGGAGAGGTGCCTGGGCAGTGCCCCTCCCCCAGCCCACACACCGGCCTCCTCTTCTTTTTCCCCTTCCGAATTCCTCTTTCGGAAATGCTGTTTTCATTTGGTCATTCCTCCTCGTCACCCCCCTGCCTGGAAGTTCCCTTTTATTTCTTAACTCAAATCTGAACTTTTCACACTGGCCTAATGCAAGCCTGGCCCACCCTGTCTTCCCAAGTCATCACCACCAAATTAACCCCAGCCCCCCACCTCCATGGCAGTGGACCCCTCACAGCCCGCCCTGGGAGGTGGCACGTGGATTTCCGGCACTGTGCTTAATGCACGCGCTGTAGGGGAGACGGAAGTCTTTGGTTAGGTGGGCCCCCCCGCACACACACACCTGGTCTATACCCGGTGATCGCAGCACACAGAGTCATGCTGACGCTTTGGGAGGAAGGCCTCAGTATCAGCCCCGAGGATGGCAGGAGGACCATGGAAACAGGTGTTTGAAGTAGTTGTCAGGAGAAGGGAGGCCAGATGGGGTACCCGCTGCTGCTGTCCCGGGGGCCTCAGGAGCTCCCGCACAGAAGCTCGGGGCTTCCTGACCAGAGGAGGCCCCCAGGACTGAGCTGGGGACAAGGCTGGATGCTAAGGGGCCCACGTGGAGGTCCATTTCGACCCGTGGCCCACGCAGACGCCCAGCAACGGGCCTACGTGCCGCCGTTCTCTCGGTCCCCTCCCCTGGTACAGCAGACGTCGGCATGGCTCTGCTCACAGGGCGGAGAATGTCAGGCCGGACATGCGTGTTCAGCAGTGACCATCGCCGTTAAACCATGTCGTTGAATCGCTGGTTGATACTCCAGGTGCTGACTGTTGTCGACTCTGGTTGTGTGTTGTTGCTTCTTTTTTGCTTTCTGTTTTATTTTCACAATGAGCCTCTTTTATCTGTCTAATGAAGGAAATCTAAAGCGATTCTCAGTTGAGAGAAACATACTGAGGTTGCCTGCCTAGCAGGAGTGAGGCCCTGCCGGGCACGGGCTGGCGGCTGGAGGGATGGTGCGGCCTCTGTTTCTGAGGGACTCACAAGCTAAAGAGGAAGAAGGAGAAGATAACAGAACAGTGTGGTTGCTGTTCTGAGTATCCTTTGATCAAGGAAGAGAGAGCTGCCCCTCCCCAGGGAGACAGGAGCCCAGATTCCCAAACTCAGTGGGAAAAGCAGGCAGCGACAGACATGGAGGGGAAGGAGGAAGGAGGCCGCCTCCAGGGGACCCCGCACGGACACACTGCACAGTCAGGAGACTGCAGCCTGGGGCAGGGGGGAAGGAACAGCCAGAGAGGCATCCTCAAGGGCTGTGGTGTCTCTGTTCTCGTGCCTGTCCCACCCGCCAGCTCCCTGCGGCGGGAACCTCCACGGGACCATATCCCCAGGCTCTTCTGCCAGCAGGTGCTTAGCAGCCCTTGCCGGTTGGCTCTGCCCCCGCCACTCCCCTCCCCCTGCCTCGTAGGAGGCAGGGGTCTTGCCCGGAGACCAGGTTCCAGCTCTCTCGACGGGAGAGCAGTAACATCTCCTTCCTCTCAATCTCCAGAAATGTCTTTCCTCCAGGATCCGAGCTTCTTCACCATGGGGATGTGGTCCATCGGCGCAGGGGCCCTGGGGGCAGCCGCCTTGGCGCTGCTCCTGGCCAACATGGACGTGTTTCTGCCCAAGTCCCGGAGTGCGACGCTGGAGTATCTGGAGGACATAGACCTGAAAACTCTGGAGAAGGGTGAGCCCCGACCCCACTGGCCTCAGTACTTTTCCAGGGTGCCGGGATGCAGACTTCCTCATTTTTTCCCTCCTGAAGGGGCCCTCTCTCTCTCTCTCCATCTCTCTCTCTCTCTCTCTCTCTTTTTTATTTAACTGAAAAGGCACTATAACAACATTAGGAAAAATTTAAAGCATTTTAAAACATACTGATGATCCCACTGCCCTAACGCAGTAATCATTTGTTTTTTGCACATTTCCTTCCATGTGTTCACAGTATGCAGCTGTGATCTTGTTGGACCTGGGATATTTTACATTTTTGCTTTTTCTTATCAGGAGCGTTTTTCACTTTCTCTTGTTGTCCCTTGGACCGCCACCACAAAACAGGAGCTCCATGGGCCAAATACATTTGAGAAACGCTGCGTACGCAGCTGCGTGTTCCCGATGCCGAGCACGGGAGTTGCTTGTGGAAATGCAGCATGTGGACTCTTACTGGTGCAGGCACCGTCTGCCCTCACCCGCGGGCAGCACATCCATGGTGGGCTGGGAAGCACAGGGTCGTGCCTTTACAAGGGACCCGCCCATCCCCCTCTCCTTGGGGAGCCCACTTGGAGTCCCTGGTGGACAGCTGAGAGCCACACACTTGCACGTGGTTCCTCTGGCACCACCCCGTGCGCTTGTGGCGTGGGATGTGTGGCCCGGTGCGATTTCAGTGGTGCCGATGGTATGGGCACCGTTGACCTGAGTTTGGGGAGATTTGGGTCTACCTGAGCGGGTAGTCTCATGGTTGGCCCCTCAGAGGGAGGCGAGGTTATCATCACCTGCTTAGTAAGTGAGGAAGCTGGTGGTGGGGAGGCGGGAGCTGTGAGTGTACGCTTGCCACATAGGTCACCTTGGAGGAGGGCTGAGAAGTCCTTCGGACAGACGCTTGTTTGCTGCCTTCAGCTCAAGGTTTTCCAGGGTCAGGTGACGACAGACCCCGCCCCACTCCTTCTTCTCACCTAACATCTCACAGGATTCCTCTGAGACATGCTGAAACGGGGGCTGTGTCTGCAGACACCACGGTGGGCACTTTCCTACCCATCTTTCGATGCCCCTTGTAGCCTCTGTGGAGCTGCTGGGCGCCCACACTTACGAATGAGGAGCCTGAGGTTTCGGGAGTGCCCAGGCCACTTTCCAGATGCGGACTGTGTCTGACAGCGGCCTGGCCAGAGTGGCAGAGCGGTACTTCCCTGAGGTGTTTCCTGGTCCGTCATCTTCTGCCCTGTCCTGTGAATGATACTACAGTTAATATATTTAGGCCAAACATTTTTTTCATTAAAAAAAAAAATTTCTGTCGACGTAAGCCCTTTTAAGAGTTAGGTTTTTGTTTTCTGGGGTTTTTTTTGTTTTGTTTTGTTTTGTTTTGTTTTAAAGTATAAGATCTCTTTCAGCTTTTGGCCACGTATCTGCCCTAAAGGATCATGACAGTGTCCGCTGATACCAGCAAAGGAATTTGCCAGTTTTCCAGAAATGTTCCAGTTTGGAATGTTCAAGTTTGCAAATCGATTTTTATGGGGGAGGGCCCATTGGGGGGGTTCAGTAGGACCCTTACACCGTATTAATTTTCCTCCGAAGGGGGAGTCTTTCCTGCGTTTCCGGTTTGCGATTCCCAAGTCCTCTGCGGGGCTGGTACCATTTATGAGCTGGCCTTGCGGTTGGGGCCGAGCCAGGAGGGGATGATGCTGAGGTGCTTTTCTTCTCCCCAGACCCGAGGACTTTCAAAGCAAAGGAGCTCTGGGAAAAGAACGGAGCGGTGATCATGGCTGTCCGCAGGCCAGGCTGCTTCCTCTGTCGGGAGGTGAGTACACGGAGGCTCTGTGCCGAGGGAAGGATCCTAGCAAGCGGGGCTGGCACGTTTCCAGCCAGGACCAACAGTCTGGAGGCCCCCTCTGACCTTCGATCAGCACCGTTATTTGCTCTAGGTATTTCTTTGGACTTGTTCCCTGTTTGTGTTCATTTAACAGCTCACCATATCATGGAGTTGGCAAATACACCGGACTCTGGCTCTCTCAGGCCTTTGCGCTCTTAGGGACTGTGTCCAGGGCCGTCTTCTTATTTAATCAGGGATGGGGACCAGGTCCAGCTGTGTGTTCCCAATGCCGAGCACAGGACTTGCTTGTGGAAATGCGGCGTGTGGACTCTTACTGGTGCAGGCACGGTCGGCCCTCACCTGCGGGTGGCACGTCCATGGTGGGCTGGGAAGCACAGGGTCGCATCTTTAGAAGGGACCCGCCCATCCCCCTCTCCTTGGGGAGCCCTAGTGGAGTCCCTGGTGGACAGCCGAGAGCCACACACTTGCACGTGGTTTCTCTGGCACCAACCGTGCACTCGCGGCGTGGGATGTGTGGCCCAGTACGATTTGAGTGGTGCCGATGGTGTGGGTGCCATTGGCCTGAGTTTGGGGAGATTTGGGTCTCCCTGAGCGGGTGGTCTCCTGGTTGGCCCTTCAGAGGGAGGCCATCGTCACCTGCTCAGTAAGTGAGGAAGCTTGTCACCGGGAGGCAGGGCCCAGCCTTGTCACTTCACAGGTAGGTAAACCAAGGGCCAGAGTGCTTTGGTGACCTGTCCTGGGCACACAGTCTATGATAGAAGGCCCAGGTTCTGAGGCCCGCCCTGCCTGGGGGAGAACTGGGAGTGAGACCACGTGGTGGCTGTGGCCCGGTCCATGTCACCATCCTCCTCTGTCCCGTTGTTCTTCCTATGCCTGAGGCTTTCCTTTCAGCCTTGTGATCTCTCTCCTGCCCATGTGGCTGGACAGGCAGAGAATCCACTCACATTCAAGGCACTTCGGTGTCTCCCCCACCTACCCCTGGAAAATACAGCCTGTGTCCCAGAGGAAGAAAATGAGGTGCAGAGGTGGTGACAAAGTCACACTGCCGTGGGGGGAGGCGTGTCCATTTCCTATTGCTGCTGTCCCAGACTATCACAAACCTAGTGGCTTTAAAGAACACACATCTGTTAGCTCGCCGTTCTAGAGGTCAGAATTCTGAAATTGGTCTCCTTGGGGCAAAATGAAGGTGTCAGCAGGGCTGCATTCCTTCTGGAGGCTTTAGGGGGGGAAGTAGCTCCCTTTCCTGTTGCAGTTTCTCGTGGCCATCTGCATTCCTCGGCTCACGGCCCCCTCCTCCACTGTACAGCCAGCAACGGCTCAACCATGCTTTCTCGCATTGCGTCACCACCACGCTGACTTCTGCTTTCCTCTCCCACGTTTAAGGACCCCTGTGGTTGGGGCCACCCAGAAAACACATGGTTAGCAACGATCTGCCGGCCTAATTCCCCCTGACCGTGTGATAAAACAGACTCACAGCTTCCTGAGATTAGGATGTGGACATCCTGACAGGCTGTTATTCCACCTACCATGGGAAGCGAAGCCTAAAGTCAGGGCTCTTGGTTCAACGTCTGTCATGCCTTCAGATACCAACCTGGAGGCCCGTCGTGACTTGATTTCCCAAGGCGAGTGAAACCCAAAAGATGCCAAGAGCCAGTGCCCTCGCTCATTAGCACTGCTTGCCCACGCCCCGGGCTCCACCTGGCAGAGCACTTGGTGGAAAACGTGAGCTGGGTGGCGGCCTGTGATCTTTCGAGTGGCCCAGAGCGGAGGCGTGTGACTGAGTTTCCACATCATGGCTCCGTGCAGCGGCGTCCCGGAGTAAAGAGCCCGGGAAGGGGGAGTAAACCCTGGCATGTCACACACGTGGTCTCTGACCACAGCGGGCCTGCGGCCCTCCCCGCTGTAGGACAGGGTTTGCAAAAAATACTCAGTGAAGCTCTTGATCAGTGCATCGCGGGGGATTCTGCTTCTCCGGGACGCGTGCGAAGCTTCTCTGTGAGGCGCGTGGTTTCCTTTCTTCATTCAGCATATAGTTCGTGAGAGTCAGGATGTCCATGCTTCCCACTTCAGCTGTGTCCGCCTTCCCCTTCAGATCTTTCCACCTGGTTTCTAGTACCTTCCACATCTTCAGCCCATGTGCTGGCCATGGACGGATAAAAGAAACAGAAGGACGTAGTTTCTAACACGGAGACACACTGGGGAACTTAAGTGACAGCGCCCAACTTGGTGGTACACAACTGACTCAGTTCTGCAAAAGTCCCCAGGCGGGAAAGCCTGGGTACGCACAGAGAGCTGGGGCTCTAGTCCGGACTCCACCAGCCCAGGACAGCTTTCAGCACAGGGGCTGCTTTCCGGAGGGGGATTGGAGCAGGAGAAAAAGGAAGGGTGTTGCAGGCTGGGGAGCCCCCTGAGCGCGGGTGTGGAGACAGCTGTTCCCACGGCCAGAGGGGCGTTTGTCTCAGGCCCCAGCGCCTGCGCTAGTTCGGTCTAGTGCAGGGGAGGGACTGGGAGATGAGGTGGTGGAGAAGCTTCGTCTCGGCTCCAAGCGGCAGGCCCAGGCCGTGTCTGGAGCAATCTCCTAGTTATCAGCTGCTCCCCAGGCCATGGTCAGGATGCTGGTAACGGGAGGCTTGCCCCTCCTTCCCACCGTGGAGAAAACCAGAAGCCTGGGCTGAGGAGGCGCCCTGACACCCTCCAGCCGAGGCCTCGTGCGCAGCCGGGACAGGCTTAGGCGGGGCCACACAGGCCTCAGTTGTTTGGGGCGTTGTTGCGCTTGTTCTTTGCATTCGGTGCCAGCCACACTCTGGGCCCGTAGGGAAGTGGGTATTGGTTGTGGCTGCAGAGCCACCAGAGTTTGTGCCCCTGAACCTCGCTGTCTTCTGCAGGAGGCCGCGGACCTGTCCTCCCTGAAGCCCAAGCTGGACGAGCTGGGAGTCCCCTTGTATGCAGTGGTGAAGGAGCAGATCGGCACTGAAGTGAAGGACTTCCAGCCTTACTTCAAAGGAGAAGTCTTCCTGGACGAAAAGGTCCATGTGCGGGGGGGCCTGTTGACACAGGCTGGTGGGGCTTGTGCTTAGGGGTGGGGAGCTCAGTGGCCCACGGGAGGTCTGGCCTGGGGCTGCCCTGACTTCGGAGAGGCTCACCCAGCCCTCAGGGCAGAGCATGCTGGGACACTTGACAGGTGTCTTCTCAGGTGTTCCTTGAGCCCTTCCGGAATTGTGACCTGGGCGTGGAAGCCTAGGAAATTGCTGGGCTCTCGCACTGTACAGGGGTGGGAGGTCAGCACGAGCCCCTGTCTCTTAATTCACCGCAGCCGCTTTTCTTTCCCCTCTACTGTCCCCTGTGCAGGAGGTCGGCCTATTAGCAGCCTGACGGGCACGAGAGCACCCCACGCTCTAGCAAGGGGTCAGAGTCCGAGCGGAGAGCTGCATGTTCCCAAGCTAGGCCCTCCCCGTGGCCAGAAGCTGGCGCTACCAGGGCGGTCTCTCCCCGGGCAGCTGAGCCTGCTCCTGGGCCCGAGCCACATGTGTGTTAGGTTCTGGAAAAGGCCACGAAGCAGCATTGTTGCGTCTTTGAGAACAAATGCCCTGTCGGGCCCCTCTTCTCCTGAGGGAAGGCAGGCACACAGGCTGCTCACAGGGGCTCTGTCTTTCTTGCTCCCGCAGAAAAAGTTCTACGGTCCCCAAAAGCGGAAGATGATGTTCATGGGATTTGTCCGTCTGGGTGTCTGGTACAACTTCTTCCGGGCCTGGAATGGAGGCTTCTCTGGAAACCTGGAAGGCGAAGGCTTCATCCTCGGGGGAGTTTATGTGGTGGGACCGGGAAAGCAGGTACGTTCCTCGTGTTCACGTGTGGTCTGTGGCACCAGACACTGAGAGGGGTGGTGACTTTCCCTACTTGGAGTCTTGCAGCCGTCCTTCCAGAAAGCCAGGAAGTACAGGGAGGGGAGGGGAGGGGTGTTAGCATTTGTCGCCCATCTGTTCTCCAGCCGCCTCCCCCTTGAGTCCCCTCACTCAGTAATGCCCTGAGATGGGCCAGGCGGGTACCTTGGACTGAGAGGGGCGGGTGAGCGCGCAGCTCATCAGCACTGCGCACCTGGCTTTTCTGATGTCAAGTTCTGTCGTCTGCGCTTGAAAGAAAGCGGAGGTTTTACTCCGTCAAGAATGTATTCCCTGGCAGTTTTCCCAGGTCACCGGGGATGGACAGTAGAGAAAAGTAAGAGGAGAGAAGGAATAGAAACAGGCCGAATCAGGGGGAGTAGCAGCGTGTGGGAGGAGACAGCACTTGCCCCTGGGGGCTTCTCTGCAGACGGCTGCTCTGGGCCCCGGCTCTGAGGATCCAGAGGCAGCACAGGGACCCTGTGGGCCTGGGAGCCAGGTGGCTGGGTGCTCCACATCAGACCCCGGGCAGCCTCGAACTCTGGAGACCCCCCCCGGTGCAGTGCCGGCAGGTGCCAGCCAGACGCAGAGCAGGGGTGGGAAGTAGGTGCAGCGTCAGGGCCCCGACTGGTGCCCTGACCTCAAGTCCTGTCTCTGCCAACTTTGGGCATGACATTAAAACTTGGCCTCATCTGTAACAAGACGGCATTGTCTGCACCAGTGACTCTCACTACTAACATTAATAATTGTGCACTTTTCAGGGTGCCTGGGTGGCTCAGTCAGTTTAGCCTCCAACTCTTGGTTTCTGCTCAGGTCATACAATCTCACGGTTTCTGAGTTCGAGCCCCGTGTCAGGCTCTCCCCTGACGGTGCAGAGCCTGCTTGGGATTCTCTCTCTCCCTCTCCCTCTTTTCTCTTTCTCTCAAATAAATAAATAAATAAATAAATAAATAAATAAAATAGTAAAGAATAATTTCGGGGCACCTGGGTGGCTCAGTCAGTTAAGCTTCTGACTTCGGCTCAGGTCATGATCTCACAATTCATGAGTTCGAGCCCTGCATCAGGCTCTGGGCCTGGAGCCTGCTTTGGATTCTGTATCTCCCCCTTTCTGCCCCTCTCCCAGCTGCGCTCTGACTCTCTGTCTCTCTCTCAAAAATAAACACTAAGAAATTTTTTTTAAATGACCTCTTGCTTTTCTCAATTTGGGAGGAATCAAAGCTAATGGGAATAGAAGTCCTTCAATTTCAAGCTTTACTTCTAGTCTCTTTCTTTTAAATCGTGGTGACTGCTAGTGCTTTTCTGGATTAGAATCTGGTACGGGTTGGTGCCTGATTTAACATGAACCTATTTGCTTACTTTCTGGTAAAGATACCAAAATATCGTAGCGATCATGGCTGCCAGCAAGTGCCTGCTGAGTTCTAGGTCCTTGCAACCAGTCCGGGATGTTAGGTATTTTTATTCCCATCTACTTGTGAGAAAATGAAATATGACGGATATGAAAGAGCTCAGCCCATACACAGCTGCTTAGTGGCACAGCGGACCTGGAACTCAGGAACTCGAATGTGTCCTGCCCCAGAGACCCCACTGTTCGTCCGCCCAGAGCCTCTCTTCGAGGTGGTTCCAAAGACCCCATCCAGAGGCCCTTGCCCTTAGGCCGCTTCCCGAGAGGATCAGTCGCTCAGCTTCCTCAGGCTCTGGCGCTCCGGGATTCCTTCCTCCTCCTCACCTCTGCCTTCCCTCGGCCTCCAGGGCAGGGCCGAGCTCACCTGGATGCCTTCTCTTGCCTGGCGATGACTCATCTGGTGCTCACAGGCTCCCTGAGCCTGGCTGGCCTGTTCCTTGTGTTGCTAGGCGTGTTGTTTGCCCATGTTGGGGTGCTCCCTGAGGCCCTGCCTTCTTCCTTCCTGGTGGAAGGTGGCCCCGGCTGGCTGAGTTCAGGACTTGCCTCCGTGTTTTTTTCTTTTTCTTTTTTTTTTTTTTGTTCAAGTCGGCTTCACGCCCAGCACGGAGCCCCATGTGGGGCTTGAACTCACGACCCTGCGATCAAGACCTGAGCTGAGATCAAGACCTGAGCTGAGATCAAGACCTGAGCTGAGATCAAGAGTCAGACACTTAACTGACTGAGCCACCCAGGCGCCCCACCTCCGTGTGTCTTAAGGGCAGAGTTTCTGCCATCCCACCGAGCCGGCTGCCCCTCGGGGGAGATTTCCTTTGTTAATAATAATCTTTAAAGCTCACTTACATTAAAGAAGTAATGTGTCTTCAACATAGAACATGTGAAACCCCAACAGAAGGTGAGGAGAGCCATTCTGTCAGCACAGCCACCACGCACAACCCGTTAGAGCAGCACAGAGCTGGGTTGAGAAGACTTTAGTTTTATTTATTTTAGAAAATGCTGTCTTGCTAAACTAGATACTCCTTTTTTCAAAAATTTTTTCAATATTTTTTAATTTGTTTCTGAGAGAGAGACAGCGTGAGCAGGGGAGGGTCAGAGAGAGAGGAAGACACAGAATCCGAAGCAGGCCCCAGGCTCCGAGCTGTTAGCACAGAGCCCGATTTGGGGCTCGAACCCACGAACCATGAGATCATGACCTGAGCCGAAGCTGGACGCCCAACCGACTGAGCCACCCAGGCACCCCTAGATACTCCTTTTTTCATTTACTGGTGTATCGTGAACGTTTTCTATGTTGTCATCTGTTCTTCCCCCGGACCTGTAACGTCTGCCTCCTGTCTTATTAAACATGTAAATATAGTTTCCTGATCTGTTTCTCTGTAGTCGCCACAGTGTGGTGGGATTTGTTGTTGTTGTTGTTGTTTTAAAGTCTGTATAAATAATGGTAGAGAGAACATATTTGTTTGTTTATTTAGTTTTTTGGGTCGAGTTCCCTGATGACATAGGTCAGGGAACTTGTTAACAAGGATTCCTGGATACTGACCTCAAACACAGTATTTTGTGTATTTTACCACTTTGGAGTAGCTTGGCGGATTTCTGTCTTAGAGAGCATTTTGCTTCACGGTATCTGGAGTGGCCTCTGGTGTCAGGAAATCTGAGGAGAGGCTCTGTCTTCCCTTCTCAGATGCTCATTCAACCTCGGCCGAAGCCTGACCTCCGAGCTCCGCATCCACCCCTTGAGGCTTTTCTCTGGTAGCTCATCCTGCAGAAAGTCTCTTTGTCCGGCATGTTCTTTGACTTCCCCCTCTCTGTAGACCCGCAGCTGCCTTCCATGCTTTATCATCTGTGGAGCCTTCCCCGGTCACCCCATTCTATTGAACCCCTTCTGCCTTCCTCCTTCACTCCTGACCGTACTGCTTGACAGCCCAGCTGTCGTGAGGTAGCCTCCCCTGGTCCGTCCTCACCCCCACAACGGAGCCCTTCAGGAGCAGTGCCAGGCCCGATTGGGATCTCGTCCCCGCTGCCCGAGCTGCCGCTTGGTGTCTGTGTCACGAACGGGTGACTCATATAGTGAGAACTGATGTTTCCTCTTGTTTCTTCTCAGGGCCTTCTTCTTGAGCACCGAGAGAAAGAATTTGGAGACAAAGTAAACCTAGTCTCTGTTCTGGAAGCCGCTAGGAAGATCCATCCACAGACTTCGGCCTCAGACACAAAGTGATTGTATGAAGCTGCCCGGCTCAGGGATAACTAGGGCCACTCACCTGTATCACGGGATGTGTCGTGTCTCTGCTCATGTCCCCAGAGAGCTAGACAGCCACCCATGCCGTGTTCTCAGTAGAGATCATTAATGTGTTTTAATATTGTGCTCCGTTTAGGCCCACTAAGGCAAAAACAGCCCCTGGACAAGATTGATAAAAATCTAAGAAACCAGTGAGGGTCACTTCAGCTGAATCCTGGAAAATATGAAGCTTCCTGTTGCCTGCTGCCCCTCCTGGAGTGCGAGCTCTGTTATTTACAATGGTTTTTATTCTCGTGTCTTCGAAAATCTAAGAAGAGTTGATGATTGACTTAAAGATTCAGGATATAAAGGTTTCAGGCTTGTGTGTTTTCCGTTAATGACCTGTTCTACACCGTTAAAGTAATACTCTTGTAAAGGAGTTGAAGTGCTCGGGGTGGCTTGATAAAAGTAAATTATAAAGTGAAATCTATGTTTTTCCTTGCCTCCTGTTCTAACCTCAGAGGTTTGTTTTTCTAGAAGAAATGATCATTTCTGGCTCTAATAAAATTATGTATCAGAAATTGCCTGTAATCCAAGTCTTTCTGATAAAACTAACAATAAAAATATTTACGGTCGTGATGGCTGAATTTAAATCATTGATGCCAAAGACATGGAACATGAAGAATCAATATTCTCCATGGGTGGGGGGTTAGGGGTGGGGAGAGCTCCTTTAGTTCTGATGCCCTAAGAGGTTTGCAGACCACCAGAGAAATTCATTCTGTCACTCATGTGGGTGATTTTGCTGTCTTCCTAGGGGAATGACTTTGGTATTTAAAATTGGTGGCTGCTTTCCTACTGACAGTCTTTCTGCCTAATTTGGTGAATGAAGAGGAGAAGGGACAGAGCAGATGAACTATAATTTAATTCATTAATTTGTTATGTAACTACGAAGTCAGTAAAAGCCCAGAGCGGGGGGGTGGGGGGGTGCTCTGCCCCGGAGTATCTGCTTAGGGGCACCAAGTCCGCCCTGGAGTAGGAAGGTGGGGATGGGAATCCAGGGAAGGAGGGATGAGGGAGCAGACCAGCCAGGAGGAGGGGAGTCCGTGTTTACCCGGGAAAGCAAGGACAGCGACTGAGTCGGAGATAACGGCCGGGAAGTAGGAGGGCCTCAGCAGGGAGCACGGTGTGCAGCGGGTTCAGAACTGAGACCGTGCCTGGGTCTGACTTCACGGCAAGCGCACGGCCTGCGAAGGGCCAGGCTCCCGCGGGCTTCGAGAGAACACTCTTCAGTACTTGACCAAGGTCGGCATAGTGACTCAGTCCCCAGAAGCCGTGCTCCCTGGGACTCCACCACAGACTCTCAAATTCCCGGGTGTCTAGAAAACACGGGATTCTGAAACCGGTCTTTTGCAACTAGAGAGTGGAACCTGCAAGGATGTGGCGGGGATGGCCGCGCGAGAACAAACTTCCTCCTTCGCCCACTGTTTCACTGCCGGGTCCTCATGTACAGTGGGGATCGTGTCTGCTGTCTACCCTTCAGGGCTGCTTCTTAGGAGTCATTGAGGGGGTGATGGGTGTAAAACGATGCTCCTCCAACTTGCATGTACATGGAGATCACCTAAGCCTCCTGTTAAAATGAAGGCTGTTAAAGAAAAGCCGGATGCCAGTTAAAGCCAGGAAGGACAAGTTTCTTCAATGAGCACTGCGGTAGGGGAGAGGCCCCCATGTAGAATGAGCTCCACTGGGCTCTGTGCAGAGGTGGAGCAGAGACTGGAATTTTACTTTATTATTTTTATTTTATTTATTACTATTTTTTAATTTTTTTAATGTTTTATTTATTTCTAAGAGAGAGAGAGACAGCGTGAGCAGGGGAGGGTCAGAGAGAGAGGGAGTCATAGACTCTGAAACAGGCTCCAGGCTCTGAGCTGGCAGTCAGCACAGAGCCCGACGCAGGGCTCGAACCCACAAACCGTGAGATCATGACCTGAGCGAAAGTCGGACGCCCAACCGACTAAGCCACCCAGGCGCCCCTACTTTATTATTTTTAAAACAAATGTTTAAATGTTTATATTTTTGAGAGAGACAAGTGCAAGCAGGGGAGGGGCAGAGAGAGAGGGAGACACAGAATCTGAAGCAGGCTCCAGGCTCTGAGCTGTCAGCACAGGGCCTGACGTGGGGCTTGAACTCACCAGCTGTGAGATCATGACCTGAGCCTAAGTCGGATGCTTAACCAACTGAGCCACCCAGGTGCCCTGAGACTGGAATTTTAAAGGGAGATGTAGTCTGGGGTGGGGGTGGGGGGGTAGGCGTGGAGACAAATGATGGCTTGAGCAGAGTCAGGGAAGTGGAAAGCTACTGAAAGTGGGTGGTGGAGATTGGTCGATGTGACTAGGCTATCTGTGTCTGTTAACTGGCTGGCTTATCATCAGGTTAAACTTCTCCCTCCCACAGAGACTGGGAGACGGAGCCTTATCTGCATTGATGGTTATATTTCAAAGAGATGACACTCAAGTCCTTGACCAGACACTCCTGGGTTTCAGGAGATGCACAGACATCTCAAAGCAAGAGAGAAAGGATTGACCATCGTAAACTAAGTAAATGTTTTCAGAAAAGGGAGGTCAGAGGGCTATGGTCAGGTGTTTGGCTGAAACCAAAGATAAATTCTTTTGGCAGCCTTCAACATTTCCAGGCAGGGACTGAAGGGAAGGCTGGGTTATCCCTGGGAAACAGTCTTCAGCTGCTAGAAACTCCGTTAGTGTGTGTTCAAGTCTCCTGGTGTGGGGAGCAGAGGGTGGACAAAATCGTTTGTGCTCAAAGTTTTGCATTTCTCAAGACGGGGCTGAGGCTGAAGTTTATACATTTCTTTCTTCTTTTTTTAAAGTTTATTTCAAGAGACAACAAGAGCGAGAGCAAGAGAACACAAGTGAGGGAGGGTCAGAGAGGAGAGACAGAATCCAGCGCGGGGTCAGCAACATCAGTGCAGAGCCTGATGCGTGGCTTGAACTCACTGACCGTGAGATCATGACCGGAGCCGAGATCAAGAGTTGGACGCCTAACCGACTGTGCCACCCAGGTGCCCCTGGAGTTTCTGCATTTCTAACAAGCTCCTGATGGCTTTGGTGTTCTCTTAGTCCGTGGCTCACACTCTGAGAAGCAAGAATCTAAAAAACCCTGCAAATCAAAGATAGTAATATCTGAGGGCTTTGGGCTTTGAAGCTTCGGCAGCCTTTGACAACCATTAATTAGCAGGTTCCCTTTGCATTATTTGGAAAGGAACTGACAATCCGTAATAATGCGAACTGCCAAGAGACTCCAAGAAAGAGACTCCAAGAAAGAGTCTAGAAAGCTGATGGTTCTCAATGTGGATACACAGTAGGGCCACTTGGGGAGGGTTAAAAAAAATCTGATGCCTGTTCACACCCCCAGGTCCATTACATCAGAATCTCTGTGGGCTAGGACCCAGGCAACAATATTTCGTAAAGGTACAGGATGATTCTGTGGTAGGGTCCCCTCCCTAAGGAAAGAAAAAGAAATCTCAAGGTAACCTGGCTATAGGAGTAAGTGACAACATCCCTCACGACCTTGTAAAATGAGACCACTTAATCAGACTGCATGTTTGTGTGTTACCATATATGGGAGACATAGAAGTAGAAAATATATTTAAAAACTACACCACGTAGCATTCAGAGCTTGGTTCTTTGGGGCTCGGTTCTTTGAGTACGAACCCAACTGAGCAGAGCTGGCATGAATCAAGTCGCTTCCTGGAAAGAAAAGCCTTGGTGTCATGACTCTCCGCGCAAGAATCCTGCTGCAGTTCCAAACCGTAGTCAAGGCTGAGAACCATCCCCAAAGAGCTCAGTGTCAAGTTCGGAAGACCAGCACTCACACCTTTAGGAGAACTTCCCAGAACCGTGCTGCTCTTGATAATCTCTGGTGAGTTTGGAAAACAGACTTCAGGTGGCAAGGGTCAGGGACTGTTTGGACATGGATGTGGGGGGTTCCCCCAACACAAGGTGGAAATTTGGATAAAGACGTCATTTCAGGGAGGATCAAGTCCCTGAACCAAGATGTAACCAGAGGAAAGGTGAATAGTAGGTATGGGGAAACAGGCAGAAGCCTGATCCGTTTTTGCTCACCTGATTCAATGTCTTCTTGCCCAATACACTGATTTCTCAAAAGCACCGCGCTTTTCACATGGATGACTATTTGAAAATTAAATAAAACTATTTCACTGGGGGGTTGAGCGGCACGTGGAAAGCAGTGTCTGTTTTCCCAGAGCCAGGCATATCTGGGGTGATGGACAGCTGGGGGGCTGGTAGGGAAAGTGAGCTGTAGGGAAAAGGCTGTATGTAGGGGATCGTGTATGTAGTGGGTAGATTGAATCTGAGGGTCCAGACTGAACACCACTCCTCAGCCCTGGCTACCTTCCCTCCATTTTCAGTTGCTCGTGTCCCATGTGGCAAGTGGGCAAGTATATATCTGTGAGCTTATATTCGGGGGGAGGGGAAGGATAAGTTATCTTGTTCTGTGTGGTTTTTTTTTAATGTTTTATTTATTTTTGTGAGAGAGAGACAGCATGAGCAGGGGAGGGTCAGAGAGAGAGGGAGACACAGAATCCGAAGACAGTCTCCAGACTCTGAGCTGTCAGCACAGAGCCTGACATGGGGCTCGAATCCACAATCTGTGAGATCATGACCTGAGCTGAAGTCGGACGCTTAACCGACTGAGCCACCCAGGTGCCCCCCCTTTTTAAAATTTTTTTAATTTGTTTTTTTTTTTTTAATGTTTATTTTTGAGAGAGAGAGAGAGAGGGAGAGACAAAGTGGAAGCAGGGGAGGGGCAGAGGAGGGGCAGAGAGAGAGAGGGAGACAGAATCCAAAGCAGGCTCCAGGCTCTGAGCTATCAGCACAGAACCCAACAGGGGGCTCAAACTCATGAACTATGAGATAATGACCTGAGCTGAAGTCGATATTTAACTGACTGAGCCACCCAGACACCCCTGTCTTGTTATAGTTTGACCCCTCAAATCCTTTTTTAGGTTTAAATGAGAAGGGTTTCTAGAGAGGTTAGTTTGTATTTAAAGCAATTACCATAAAGGATGATTGTGGACGCTCCCTGGATTTGCAGGGGCGATGGTGGGCGGAATCCTTGCAAGGTCATGCTTTTTCTTGGTATACCTGTGTTATGTAATGATGGTCCAGGCCAACCCAACAACCTAGTTGAAAGTAGGAGTCAGTGCTTCCCATAATTCAGTAAGAGCACAAGGAGTGAGGGTGTGTGTGCGGACCGGAGACAGCTGGCCAGAAGGGCCTCTTTCAAAAAATGACATTTGGTCAGACACCTGGGAGAAGTAAAAAGTAGGTCTTGTTGACCTTTAAAAATAGGTTTTTGTGAGACAAAAATGGATTTATTCGTGAATAGTAGAGACTTGCAACTCATGACACACAAGCTGTGGCAAAGCCACAGTCAAGCCCAAAAAACAAAGGAAAGGCATGTTATTTTATGGAGAAGAAGGAGGAAGTTAGGAGGGGTTATGCTGGAGGAAGGTCCATTGGAGAAAAGCAAGGGTTCAAGGCAACCATGTTTCTCATTGGCTGAGTTGCAAGGAGTAGTCAATTTCTTACAGGAGATGCAATATA